TGCTGACACTAAACTGCAGACATAAAGCTGATATTATACTGATCCACACAGAGGATCTTCATGGTAAAGTCTGTTTTCTTCTTCTCTGGTTTAGTCCATTGATTGTAGTAGAACAATGTTCACATTTCAAACCTTCAAAGAAGAAGAAAAATCCTTTCTAATCAGACACTGCCACCTAGTGGAAGAAGTCTTAGTTCCATTCGAAGCTTCAGATTACAGTTAGTTCCTTTAAAAAGAGGTGGAGGTGGGGGAGCCACAGGACCATCATCACGGAGTCCCATAGGACACTTAACCTTTGTTTCCATATGCTGGGAACTTTCTGATGTTCCAAAGAGGACTGGGAAATGTGTGAATTTTCCAGTCAGTTCCTCACAGCACACTTCAATCATTTTCCTCCCAAAGCATCAGGACCAGGCCTTTGATTCAACTAAGAGATTTACACACAAACACATCACCGTGTGACTCTCAGAGCCTACCAGCCCTTTCCTAAAATGATAAACCTCTTCATTGAAATCAATGATATCAGAGCTAGAATCAAATGAGTCCAACTCTTCTGCTGATTCAGCATCACATTCATCTTTTGTCCTTGTTCTGCATCCTCACCATGGACTTCATTCCTTTTCAAGCCAGCCTTGAGTGTCCTTTATTCAGCTCATTATCTGCTTTACTTTTAGACCTGATTGTAGCTGCTTAATCTCTTTAAACAAGTTCTTGTGCCTCATTCTTTTTCTTATCTTCCTCATAACAAGACAGCTTCTTCTGACTGAGAACTTGTTTGAGTGATCCAAGGATGCTTATTGGGGTATAATAGTTACTGTTTTCAAAGTAATCCCCATTTTTCCCAGAAAGAAATGTAAGTAGAAATAGATGATCTAAGTGAGAACATGAGCCTTTAAGAAGTCCCAGTGTACAGTCAAAGCAGTCCCTCAGTTCCAGTATAGAGTCTTTGGTCCAGACTGGAACAACTGTGTGCTCAGTTTCAGCTCTCTTCAGTACTGTGATCTGACAGACCCAGAGGGGCCATCACATTACATTTAGAATCTCCCCTAATGGAGCCACAACACATGTCCAATACTTAGCCTGTCTTGTTGGAGAAACTGGAAGAAATGATTCAAGGACTTTGTCACAGAACAGAGATTCAAATCTGTTGGCTTCAGCTGTTTGGAGTTTCCATTTTCTAAACGTATACATTCTGAACAGATTGTGAAACACTGAATGATTTCAAGCACACACTTTGTCTAATAAACTTACATCTTTCACTCTTTATACAGATTGGAGGGCTGTGGTTTGTCAGAGATCAGCTGTGATTATCTGGCAGCAGCACTGACATCCAACCACTCCCATCTGAGAGAGCTGAACCTATGGAGAAATGACCTGCAGATTCCAGATGTGAAGCAGCTGACTGATCTTAAGGATAGTCCAGACTGCAGACTGGAGACTCTGAGGTCAGTAGAGTGTTGGAGTGAGCGGGTGGTGCTATCAGCAGTATTGTACTAAACACAGTCAGTATGAAACAAAGATCCAGTGTTTCCTGTAAAGCTGCAGCTTCTCAATGAAGCCGTGAGAGGAGAAAGGTGACAGGTTTCAGCACTGTACACAAACACTTCCTGTTTCTGCCTTTTTGTGACCTTTATGGTCACCATAGTAACGGCTCACGCTCTGATCAAACAGTGTCAACAGCCAATCAGCTCTCTGAACAAAGCAGCACGCAGACCAATAACAGCATTTATTTCCAAGTTTAAAGCAGTGAAGAAGACAGTCTGTAGGTAAGGAAGAATTTAGTGAAACCAGATTTTTAGATGGAATTCCTACAGTTAACAGCTGGAACCATTCCATCTGGATTGCTGGGGCTGTTGGGGTTCCTAAAGAGCTCAGAGTGGACAGTCCAAGGTTATTCTAATGAATGAAAGAGCTAAAGCTAAAGGAGGAGTCCTATCGGGCTTGGTTAGCCTGTGGGACACCAAAGGCAGCTGATAGGTACTGACAGGCCAAGTGGAACAACAAACTCTGGTGTGGGAGGAATTCGGAGAAGCCACTGAAAAAGACAAACCGTCAAGCGGTGTTCTACCTGCACTGTGTATAGTGCGGGTAGAGCGCTCCTTACTTCGACTGAGAAAATTGTTTGGTGGTGGAAGGAATATTTCGAAGACCTCCTTAATCCCACTGGCACGTCTTCCGTGGAGGAAGCAGAGTCTGGGTACAAAGGGGATGACTTGCCAATCTCTGAGGGCGAGGTCACTGAGGCAGTTAAACAACTCCTTGGTGGCAGAGCCGTAGGGATCAATGAGTTCCTGAAGGCTCTGGATGTTGTAGGGCTGTTTTGGTTGACACGCCTCTACAATGTTGCATACCTCTGGATTGGCAGACCGGGGTGGTGGTTCCTATCTTTAAGAAAGGGGACCGGAGAATGTGTTCCAGCTACAGGGGAATCACACTCCTCAGCCTCCCTGGGAAAGTATATGCCAGGGTGCTGGAGAGGAGAGTCCATCCGTTAGTCGAACCTCGGATAGAGGAGGAACAATGCATTTTTCATCCTAGGCGTGGAACACTGAATCTACTCTTCATCCTCGCAAGAATACTGGAGGGTGCATGGGAGTTTGCCCAACCAGTCTACATGTGGAGAAGGCATTCGACCGTGTCCCTCAGGGGGTCCTATGAGGTTGCTCTGGGAGTATGGGGTGTCTGTCTGGCTCATTGCTATGGGCCATTCAGTCCTTATACAGCCGTCTTAAGAGCTTCTTCTGCATAACCGGCAATAAGTCGGACTCGTTCCTGGTGGGTGATGAGCTCAAGCAGGGTATCCCTTTGTCACCGATTCTGTTCATAATTTTTATGGACAAAATTTCTAGGCGTAGCAAAGTGGCGGAAGGCTTTCACTTGGGTGGTCTCAGGATCTCATCTCTGCTTTTTGCGGATGAGGTTTTGTTGGCATCATCGGCTGATGGCCTCCAGCTCGCCTTGGAACAGTTCGCAACCGAGTGTGAAGAGAACCAGCACCTCCAAATCTGAGGACACAGCTGGAAAAAGATGGAGTGGCCACTCCGGGTCAGGGACGAGTTTCTGCCCCAAGTGGAGGAGTTTAAGTATCCCCGGATCTTGTTTCATGAGTAACGGGAATGCGAGATCGACAGAAGAACTGCTGCTGCGGCTGCAGTGATGCGGACGCTTTACTGGTCTGTTGTGGTGAAGAGAGAGCTGAGTGTAAAAGCTAAGCTCTCAATTTACTGGTCAATCTACATCCCTACCTTCACCTATGGTCACAAGCTTTGGGTAGTGACCGAAAGAACGAGATCGCCGATACAAGCGGCAGAAATGGACTTCCTCCGAAGGGTGGCTGGCCTCTCCCTTAGAGATAGGGTGAGAAGTTCGGCCATTCGGGATGGGCTCAGAGTATTGCCGCTGCTCCTTCACATCGAAAGGAGCCAGGTGAGGTGGTTCGGGCATCTGACAAGGATGCCTCCTGGGTCAGGTGTTCTGGGCATGTCCCCATGGGAGGAGGCCCCGGGGCCGACCCAGGACGCCCTGGAGAGATGGCTGGCCTGGGAACGCCTTGGTGTTCACCCTGGAGGAAGTGGCTGTGGAGAGGGAGGTCTGGGCTTCTCTGTTTGGGCTGCTGCCCCCTCAACCCAGCTCTGGATAAGCAGAAGAAAATGGATGCATGGATGGATAAAAGTCCAAACTAAAACTAGGAGTGAAAAACATTTTCATGCACTTCAATAAAAATCCAGAGTAAATGTTAGAAAAAGTGAAACAACGAGTACTAGTACAGTCTTAGCACTGAAGTCCCTGCTGCTCTTTGTACTGGATGTGCTGCATCACTGACTGAAAGCTGATGAAGAGTCTCTGGAAACAATTGTTTATCTCCTCTGCTCTTCCTCCTTCTCTCTGCAGGTGGAGCTGATGATGGTAAACAGGACAGTATCTGTGCTGAAAGAAAATGAGCTGTGTCCTGATGATCCAGAGAGGTTCAAGCCACAGCAGCTTGTGTGTAGAGACGCTCTGACTGGGCCATGTTACTGGGAGGTGGAGTGGAGAGCTTCATCCAGCAGTGACCGACAGAGGAATGAGAAGAAGCGCAGATGACTGTCAGTGCTGCAGAGTGAACTGCTCTGACAACAGCTCCACTGTCAGACACAATGTAGTCCAGTGTCATCCCTGTGTGTCCCTCTGGATCTGACAGAGGATCATCAGTGTATCTGGACTGCTCTGCTGCTGCTTTGTCCTTGTACAGTCTCTGCAGAGTCTCTGTCTGACACTGGCTTCAGATCCTCCTGGATCAAACTCACCTGGAAAGGCTTTCAAACAACTTTGAATAATAAACAGAATGTTTTTATAAGATAAATATGATGTGTTCATGTATGTGTGCAGCACCTGGGCCCAGTCAGTAATCTCCTCTCTGAGGTCATATAAGCTGGGGATGAACTGGACATTTGTTGTGATTTGGCGCTATAATTGGCGATATAAATAAAATTGAATTGAATTGAATTGAATTGATGTGAGAGGGTGGTTTTCTCTGGTGTCTCTGCTTTGTGTTCTAGGTAATAATAATAATAATAATACTTGATTGCATTTATATAGTGCTTTTCTAGGCACCCAAAGCAATTTACAATTCCACTATTCATTCACTCACTGGTGGAGGCAAGCTACAGTTGTAGCCACAGCTGCCCTGTGGCAGACTGACAGAAGCGAGGCTGCCATATCGCGCCATCAGCCCCTCTGGCCATCACCAGTAGGCAGTAGGTGAAGTGTCTTGCCCAAGGACACAACGACCAAGACTGTCCGAGCTGGGACTCGAACCGGCAACCTTCCGATTACAAGACGAACTGCCAATTCTTGAGCCACAATCGCCCCAGTGTGTGATTGTCCTGCCTGTTGTGGGGAGTTGTGGAAGCAGTGTGCAGTTTAGCTGCTACATGTGAGTAGTGTAGGCTTGTGGGCCTCAGCAGCAGTAAAGATGCTGCTAGTGACAGAGTGAGCTTATAGGCCCCTGGAAGTGCCTCCTCGTGGTGTGGAGGTTTTTTGTTTGATTGTTGTGTTCTTTGTTGTTGCAACCTTTTTCTTTTTCTATTGTTATTGGTAAAACGGCGTTGTCGGCACTTTATGTTAAGGTTCTCTATAATAAAAACTATTTTATTTACTAAACACCTCTGTCTGTTCTCCTTTCATTCTGTTCTGGACCCATTTGTTACCAGTCCCACACACACCCCTAGACCTACATCGTGGGGTCATAACACTGTGGAAAAGAAAAGTGGATGACCACAAAGCTGCCACCTGCTTTCAGGGCAGACTGACTCGCTTTACCACAGAGCACAAAGCAAATATTTTCTCACAACACAGAAACTATTACTGGCCAAACCAATTCAGACTGTGGTGAGAGGTGTCACCAGCTTCAGACTACAGTGAAACTAGAATCATGTGGTCAACATGTCGTCATGGCACAGAAACAAACAAATTAACTTTCTAGAAGTGATAAATGAATTATAGATACTGAGATAGACTGTATTTAGAATCTTGAATATAGAATAATAAAGAAATAATAAAGAATATAGAGGAAAACAGTGAATGATACTGGAACAGAAGTTCTGAATATAATTAAGATCCACTTTAAATGAGATGATGGTCTGTGAGCAGAGTTTAGACAAATGCTTTTCCAGATGATGTCTCCACGTTCCTTCCTGTGTTTAAAATGAACAGCTCTGTGTTGAAACACCTGCAGCTGAAGTGTTTTCTTTCTATCAGAAACAGGATGCTAGACGACTGCAGAGCTGTTAGCTTCAGTTAACCACAGACCACAAACACACAGTCCAGCTCACAGTGAACAACACTCCATTTTTTTAGACTGAGTTTAGTATATAGGTGGAAGTTCATTTTTATTAATTTGGGTTGCTAAAATATGTTCCTTTTACCGCATAAATAATTACAAATGAAAAAGAAAAAAAGAAAAATACTTACAGGCCACAGAAACCTGTGATATAAAGAAATTCCGACAATATAAATTTAGGAATAACTGAACTGCAAT